GGTGTCCCGAATGAGTATCAAACTATGATGGCATCTGGTCTGAGTAAGAGTTCACTACACACCGTCGAACATCACTGGTTGCACATTCGCCAAACCTTGCTATAAGCAGGCATGTCGGCATGTGGCAAAGCAACTTGCCAATGTTGAAATTGGGTCTCTGCAAAGTCTCTGGAACATATGGATGCTCGCCGACGTATTCCGGCCGGAAGCGAATACAATGAGACTCGCAAAAATCTCAGAGCAAAACTGCGTGCTGGCCTGAAGAGAGACCGCGGAGCCTTGTGGTCACGTCTTGCATCGGAAATTGAAACAGCCGCTGCCGTTATTAAGCATCGTAAGTTATTCCGTCTGATACGGGAAACAGGCAACAGACCTGGTGTTAGCGAGACCATCCGCGGCGAGAGTGTACAGCCGATCCACAGCTTGCCAAAACGATTGGAGCGTTCGGCCGAAGACTTTGCGAGGTAGTTTAACCAATCTGTTATCGCTTTCTCTTTCGGGCATTGAGTGCCCTTCGCCATGGGCCGTCTTCTTAGGTCTGCCCTCACGCGCAGAAGTCGAACGTGCCATCAAGTTGAAGCACTTACATAAAACCGCATGGTCAGATAGAATTTTCCCAGCCCTCGTCAAATTTGTGAACCGGCTCTTGTAGATGAGTTACAAGTGTTGTTCGTGGAACTTTGGGAGCAGGAAACTGTCTGGGCATACTGGAGCCGCTCCATCTTAAACCCAATTTTCAAGGGAGGCTCTCGTTCGGAATGCGGCAATTATAGAGGGATCAGTCTGATATCAATTGCTACTGAATTGCATGCGTCTGTCTTTCTCAGCAGGCTAACTGGCACTCGTTAAAGCCAGATCCGCGAAGAGCAAGTCGGGTTTCGTTGTGGTCGAGGCTGCATCTACCACATCTTCACTGTGCGTCACTTGTTGGAGCACCGCCAAGTTTATTGACGGTCCACTGTTGTCGTGTTTCTCGACATCAAAGGTGCCTTCGATTCGGTTGATAGACGTGCCTTTGGGAACTGTCTGCTCAGAAAAGTTGTGCCCGATAAAAGCGCAATTCGTATCAAACGCTGTGCGCGATTAGTTCGGGCTGAGAGAAGATTTATGACAGACGGTCGTCGCCCTTCAATATCTCCAACGGTGTGAGTCAGGGTTGCTCGCTGTCACCTTTCCTATTTAACTTCGATTTTGACGAAGTCATGGAACCAGCTTTCACTGGAGACGACCTAGTAGGTTTGGAACTACTTCTTGCTGAGCGACTTCATGACTTGGAGTATTCGGACGATATTTCCCTCATCTTTGACAGCTCGCAAACGTGCCAACATGCACTGGACCGAATAGCATTGGCTGTCAATCGTTTTGGGCTATGCTTTGCTCTGTCGAAATGCAAAGTATTTCTCCAAGATTGGCAGAGCCGCGCCACACCGGTATATCACGCATCAGGCTAAGATGGCTAGGCTGCGTGTTGCGCATGCCCATACACCGACTCCCACGACGTGCATAGTTTGCGCGCCGGCGCTGCGGTTGGAAGAGGAGGAGGGGAGACCAAGTAATGACTTGGACGAGAGAAATGAAAACACTCACTTCGCGTTTGGCGTCAGTTGTTGCATCCCAACTGCCTCGTTGGGGTCCAAAAGACAATGAACACGTTTGGTTGGACCCACTTGCTGATACGGCCAGGAGCCGTCCCCATTAAGGTTTGTGTGGCGATTTTCTTTGTTCATCCCGTCTCTTTTAGATTCTCCTACCAATTCCGATTTCACAGGAATTACATGGTATAATACTTAACACTATATTACCTGTGTTTATAAATAAATAAATAAATAACTTTGTATATGTACCGACAAACGGTACCCGACCCCATAAGAGGGAGCGCTCATTTGTGTAGTGAACAGGTTTCATGGTTCACGCGTCGAAATCATAATAGCATGGGAAATTTTAATGATAGAATTTCGGGTTATGATTTTTCCCCGAGGTCCTAGACCGGAGCACCTAATATGCAAAATGTACCGATATTTGTGTCATCATTTTCTAGTTAGTGGGTATCAGGAGAAGATAATAAATGGGGGAGATACTAGGCTGCACAGAAACAAGGTTTGTTATTCTAGTTAAGGACATGTAGG